CTTTGCCGGTACATCTACAATGAATGCTTTAATTGTAAACTGATACTTCTGATCATTAATTATAATACCCTGTTCTGAAAATTTATTCACTTCCTCCACAAAGTCTTTAAGAAATTCGTTCACATTTTTGGGTTTTTCATTTCCATGGTAAATACCTATTATGTCAACTACATTTCTATTTTGCACTAGTGAGCAAAGTATTGGATAAAACTGAGATCCAGAACTTTTTGATAGTGGAAGTCCATCAATATTAACATAAATCTCAATTTTGTCTATAGGCTTGTTTTTAATACAACAAAATAGGTTCTTAATACATTTTTCTAGGCCGAAATGGAAATATTGTCCAGGAAAAACAATTTTATATTCCAAATTTCTAGGTGTATGTAGTAAACTTCTGGCATCAAGGGGCAATTCATTAAAAGTTGGTTTCAATCGTTTTAATAAATCAGACAATGCAATATGAGATATGTTGAATTTTAAAGCCCACTCTGTTAATTCCGAAGTGATATCTTTTTTTTTTGTAATATTGTCACTGACTCCTAAATTTTGGACAACATTGGAAATTGAATCTTCTAAATCTGAAAAAGGTGAGGGTGAAACTGGGGGTGAAAGGGAAATATTGATATCTAATTCTTTATTGCCATCAAGATCAGGAGGATCTGCCCCGGGATCTGCTAACGTTAAGTCATTATTGAAATTCTCAGAAGCTACCATGAGTGGTGTGGCGTGTATATTCACATTATTGCGAGCATTATTGTCAGCTTGGAAATTATTACTTAAGTAAACATCAGAAGAAACATTATTTTCTTGATTATTATTAGTTCCACATATATTTTCCAAACTCATATCACTATGCAATTTTGCTTTTCTATATTTTGATCTGGAAAGTTTAGGCATTTTATTTGAAAAGTGAGTTGAAAAGTCAAGTAATCATCTAAATACTGTTTCACTGCTATCTATAAATCTATAATCTCATCAAATAACAGTGTTTTCCAACCTAAAAACAAAAAAGATCTATATCAGAAAATAGGTAGTACCTATGAATAATTTTAATTTTCTCACTAATTATGTATTCACCAAAATAAAAGTTAGAACAGTACCCAAATCTATAGACAGCTCGACTGTAATTTTTTTTTTTTCAAAAAAACTATTAGATTGATATTTGAGGTTGTATCAAGGTATAACTTAGGTCTCATCTATAAATATACCTACTCTTCATCTAGCAAATAAGTAAATTATAAAACGGGCTACGACCAAAAAAATTTGCCTTTTTTTTTTAGATGAAATATTCATAGCAAAAAATCATAAATCATAAATAATGAACCAAAAATATTTTCATGTTTTGATAATAATTTATTGACGCCATATTGACTGGGTTTCAAAATTTATTGACACATTATGGTTAGATTTTACGATTTCTTTCTAATTTTGTGATAAGCAGAAATAATTAGGTAGGTATATCTATTAATTTCTTACCTGATGGGTGATTGATCCAACAACATCCAACACTGCAACACGACAAAACTTTTGCGAAAAAAATAAATAAAACGATAGCGTCCTGCTCCCCGGGGTCACTGGTTTCAATGGAAATGGTGGCGTTGTGTTGTGTGCGGTGACTATGTACTACAACACTACACCTACAGATTAATTACTAGAGGAACGTTCTTCAAACGATAATTCTGATTTTCTGAAAGGCGGAAACGAACAACTACCTGTTTTTTGGCAATTTTTAAAGTAGAATAATTCCGTTGTTGCGTACGAATACAGCGGTAGAGTGTATCGTTCAAGCAGGCAGCAGCATGAAGGAGTAATGGCTGCTGCTGGAGTGCTGGCTGGCCGCGCAGATGGCGAAACGCAAGATGCCGCGCCCTGATTGGCTGGCGCTCGGTCACGTTAACTTCTATCCCTTTTAATTGGGTGACTCCGTAGCGCTCCTATCGACTGTACCACTGTACTATCGACTAATTTCTTAGACAGAATTTCACAAATGGACCACTAATACCTACCTACCACAACTTATTAATAAATTAAATATTTGAAAATTCATTTTTGATTGTATATAAGTACTTCACTAAATAGTTATCCACTAGAAAGTCATTGGACATCCCAGGAGTTTATGCCATGCATGCATCACAAAATTATTTCGATTTATAGGTTCATTTATGGACACTGAATGGATTTCCAATGGATATCCATTCCTGGCAGTTCAGTAATTGTCCAAAAAAAAAGTCCACTGGATGTCCATTTCAAGACCATGATATTTATTTACATTTGTGGACATTAAATGGAATTCCAATGGATATCCGTTCCTTTCTGTCCATTTAATGTCTAAAAAATATAGTCCAATGGATGTCCAGTTTGTGACCATGATTTTTATATACATTTGTGGACGATAAATGGATTTCCAGAGGATATCCGTTTCTTGTGGTTCAGTTTTTGTCCAGAAAATATAGTCCATTAGATGTCCAGTTTATGACCACGATTTTTAGAAACATTTGTGGACACTTAATGGATTTCCATTGGATATCCGTTTCTGGCTGTTATCAGTTATTGTCCAAAAAATATAGTCCATTGGATGTCCATTTAATGTCCCTGGACATCTGTACATATTTTGTACCTAAAATGGATATCCATCGGATGTTGGGTGTTATCTGGGAAAATAAATAATTATTGTACCATTTTTCCTCTTAACAGTTCCATATTTTATAAACTGTGCTCTGACGGTATCTTGCTCTAATTTTCTTTTCTACTCATTAAAGTCTTCCTTATTATTAAATGTTAAATTCTTGGGGAGGTGAGACTTTCTCGAAACTCCCTCTCATGTCATTGATAATAAGACAAACTATCGAATTATAAATAATAATTTTGTGTCAAATAAATAAAGAGAAGGTAAACAAAAATGCTAGTGAACCGCCGTTTGTCGCTTCGTGCCAAATTTTAAATTTTCGTTCGTACACTTCCAACCATATTCGTGGCGTTGCCTCCGTGTGATCCGCAGACGCTTGTGAAAAGGATCAACAAGTGTTCCATAACCACACTTATTCGGGGAAAATAAATAACTGGGAAAATGTAAATATTAGTGCAAATAAGGGTGAAAAGCTATTTCAAGGGTGTGAAAGCGATCTGTGATGTTGCAGAATCCTCAATAATGGAAAATACGAGACTCGTAAGTGTTGCCAATTGATATTTATTTGGAAGTAAACAAACCTTTCCATCAACAGTTAGGGCTTTTTAGACAACTTTCGTAAGCTAAATAAAATAAATTTCGATCCTACTAGTAAGGCTTTATTATCCTAAAACTACCCTATCATCTGAATACAAAGAAATAACTCAGTATTACCCAATATACCTTTGTTCAACATCCACATATTGTTTCGCATTCAATCAAAAAGACAGAAAACTAGTAAAATCCAATGAGAAACCTATCAATCACCGAAAAATATTAATGCTCAGGTATAAAGCTTTATGAATACCCTCACAAATACCTGAATTAATTAGTGAATGTATTCGAAATCTCCAGTTATGTACTAAGGCAAAATTTGTACGTAACAAACTTAGGTAGATGATGAGTGTATCCTCCTTACCCAGGTGACTCGAATAATTGAAGACTTCGTCTGATTGTTTAGCAACGTTATACCCAGGTTTTGTTTCACCAAGTGTGTTGTATTCGTCAGCCTCCACACGTTTCGTGATTCCAGCAAAAGCGCGCGCTAATATCCCCGTAGATGACAATTTCCCTTCTGCAGGTCTGTGCTCCTGAGAAGTCCAAACCGTGGGTCACGGGAGTCAAAGCCCCCGGCAATCCCTGTCTGCCTGTCAAGGAGATTTCTTCAAAGAGAGAGATACCCATATACTCTTGGACGCGGCAATCAGACACACAGTGTTACCAGATTGGGGGATTTTCCCCAAAATTTGGGGGATTTTCAAGTAGATGGGGGAAAATCTGGGGGATAGTTTTTTCTGGGGGATTTTTTGGGGGTAAAAATTGTGAGAATTTTCGCTATTGGGGGAAATCGGGTATACATTTTTCAATGAATAAAAATAAAGTAAAAAATGTATTAAAACGCTAAATTTTAAGTTATGTCTTATTTCTTATTTTGTGTTATTAAGTTAGTACTACTATTTTCATAAATTGAGATTATTTTTTAAACTATCCAAACTTCTTGGTACAACTGTACTTATCTCTTCTGTCGCCAGTCCCAACATTTTATTTCATTTGTCATTTGTCAATTGTCATTTTATTTTTGGGATTAGAAAAATATAAACAAATAAAAAAGTGGCAAGGGTATGAGTTTTATTTTAAAATATTCAACAAATTTGGCTTTTTTTTGCAAGTATGATTCGAGAATAAATCTATATTTATTTGGGGGATTTTAGTTGACAAACAGTGATTTTTGGGGTATTTTTGAAATCCTTTGGGGGAAATTAGTTATAACCATCTGGCAACCCTGCAGACACATCCATGCTTGGTGATGCCGGTAGAACGGTGTTTTGATAGAGTTGTTTTAAGTCTTCGAACTCGTTCATAAGACTTCCATTATCAGCTGTGAGTGTCTGAATTGATGAAAGCATTTGTGACCTCATCTCCTCTAGTTCGGGAAGGGTAGCCTGTAATCTGACAATCGTTTCCTTGAGGAAATTTACTTTAATTGGTCAACCGGTAAATGGATCGTTTTGAACCATATCGGTCATAGAGGCTAGATATTTCTATAAAAGTTTATCAAAGAGCACAAATTCATTCGGCAAAAAACAGAGTAAATCTGGGAACTATTTCGATTTGTAATCAATCTTGACCTGATTAACATTTCAGATTGCAATTGTAGTTCACGACCGCCATTTAAAGAAAAAAGCGTAAGCATCGCAGCTAATAAATAGTCAAAGGCAGAAAATTGAATCTCAAATAGATTAATACTGGTCAAAGATAATTTCTAAAAATAAAATATCAGTAAGATTTAGATAATGCTAAACTAGACTAGTGTTTAGTGTTTCGAGAGATAAACATGTCTTTAGTAAGTAGTTATTTTCCATTACCAAGTATTTATGAACATTACACTAATGGAGGCGTCTACAGTGGATTAGACTCTAGCAAGCCATATTTCACATTAAATGGAAAAAATATCACCATATATAGCGGTGCTATGCACTACTTTAGGGTACCAAGGAAATATTGGAGAGATAGGTTGAGAAAAATGAGAGCTACAGGTAAATGCATCAGTAAATAATACAAACATCATTATCTTTCTTTTTTTTTTAGGCTTAAATACAGTCGAAACCTACGTACCATGGAACCTCCACGAACCTCAACAAGGTCATTATGATTTCGGCGATGGGGATTCAGACATGCAAGACTTTCTGAACATAACAGAATTTTTGAAAACAGCCCAAGAAGAAGACTTATTGGCCATAGTTAGACCTGGACCATATATTTGTTCGGAATTTGAATTTGGCGGGTTTCCCAGTTGGTTATTAAGATATGTGGATATTAAATTTCGAACCTCGGAGTTTAATTATATGAAGTTTGTAGCAAGGTTTGTATTGTTTTATTTTATTTTTTTTATGAATTGTTATTGTGTATTTGTTTAGGTATTTTAATATTTTGTTGCCAATATTGGCAGCGCTGCAATTTTCAAAAGGGGGTCCAGTGATAGCATTTCAAGTAGAAAATGAATATGGTAGTACAGAGAAACTTGGGTTTTTTACTCCAGATAAACTATATTTAAGGTAAAAATCTAATTTTTAATAGTAGTAGACTAGTTGTAGTATGTATTACCTTGTTAATTTGTAATCCATCCAGAAGGTTTGTTTGAGTTTACATGTAGGTAACGACTACGACAACTTATTAAGTGAAGGCGTTAATGTAAGTATACAAATATAGCGAGAGTACTTGAAATTTATACAGAAACATTCCAAATACTGAAATTTGATAAAATTATTTTTGTTGTTGCCTGGGATGAGTTGAAAAGTTATTTCAGTTAAATTTTATTGTATTCGGGCAACTTTTTCCTCTCTATACACAATGTTCCGTCTTTGGTCGAAAATCGTCAACTTTACTTTTTCAATCTTTCTTATTTCTTCTTTCCCTCGTATGCAGCCTCTACATCTTCATTCCACCAGCCCATAGATTATTTAAGGTCAGTATCTCTGAAGCCTCTGTTGCTACATTGAGACTAATTCGATTTGGGCAAGGTATGAGAAGTTTGGAAATCACGACTCTCTGGACATTGAGGCCTTCCAAAACTTTTTTCCTGCGACCTTCTATCCTCATAATGTCTGTCGGGGACTTCTGGTTTATTATAATGTAGTTCTTTTTGCCATTTATCTTCATTCCTTTTATTTGAAGAACATAATTCTTCATTGTAACGATTATCAGAAGGTTTTTGGGTGCTTTCTGACTAAGAATGATGGGAGCTGCGATAACTATCGTCTGAACTTTGCCTCTTTTATTCTCTATGATCTTCATTGTGTCTTTCAGAGCTATTTGGCCTAGCACCTTGACTTCAACGCACGTGGTGCGTTGGAGGACCATCTATTGTTGGGTTCATAATGAGAAAAGTTAGATTGGGATGGATTTACAGTGCTTCCAGTGTCCCTTTGTTAGTTTTTCAAGAATCTGGGAGGCAAATCATTATGAAAATATTTGGAGAAGCTAGGATCATTTTGTTCACGATGATCCTTTTCAAATTTCTGTTGAGGCTTCCTAGAAAAGCTTTTTTTTTTCAATTTTTGCCATTTATCTGAATCCTGAAGTATATCTTCTTATGGTAATTTCAGTCAATCGAGCATGTTCGCGCTTTTCACGTACTTTCTCGTTCAATTCCTGAAGTTTCTTCTGAGCTACTCTTTTCACTTAATGTTTTTCTCCTTCTTCCTTACGCTGCTTTGCACGTTGTATCGCCAAATCCATTTCTTTCTGATGCTGCCTATGTTTCTGAGTCATAACCTCATACTCCAATGTTCAGGTGGAGTTTGTCTCTCTTGGGAGTGGTTGCCTATTTTATTCTTTTCTGCCCGATGGACGATCCTCGTTGTCACTAATGGCTAATTCCTAATTATAATTAACATCGTCTAACCCTGCCAAACTCATGTCGTGTCCAATGTCGACAAGTTTACTTAATTCTTCTTCTTTAATAATCGGCCTGGGAGCAAGTTCCTCAGAAGTAGAAACATCGCGATTCTGAAGACGCAGCGGCCTATTGTCCACAGCCACAGTGTAGAATATGCCCGTTTTGGGAAAAGCTACCTTTGATGAAGTCAGTCTGAGCACAATATCTCCTTAAGTCCTTAACGATCACGCCCATCTCTAAATTATAATTCCCTGGAACAAAATCTCATTTAAAGTCCCTACATCGTCGGTCAAAGACGAAACATTGGATTTCAAATATGCCGTATTCTTCTGGCGAAAACCCATAAGACAGACCACTTAATTTCAAAAATATGAATATTTTAACATCTTCGAAGATTATACGGTGACTCAGGTGCTTTCATTTGGTAAGGGTTTTAGCCACAAAAATTGGATGTATCTACGTACTATGTACTACTATTAAAAGTCCTCTTCTTCGAATAAATGTTGAATTTTCATCGAATTCATCAAATATTATGGGTGGATGTTCATTCAATCGCGTAGAGTTTAATGCCTATCTATGACTTGTCCAGTTTCTAGAGTGGTTCAGTTATTTTAAGGAAACTCCGAAAACTCTTCATAGACAACGGAATAGTTGAACTTCTAGTCACTAGTGATAGTCCCACCGCGCATGGCAGTATTGGTACCATTCCAGAAGTATTTTTGCAAACTGCCAACTTTGCAGCTAATCCTGAAATTGAGTTTTTGGCTTTGAAGCGTTTGCAGCCTAATAGGCCTGTAATGGCTATGGAATTTTGGACAGGTAAATTATTCATTTATGTTGGTAGGTACCTAGTGAATAAATTATTATCTTTTTCAGGATGGTTTGATCATTGGGGTGAAATACACCATGAAAGAGACAACCAAGATTTCTATAATAATTTTGAAAGAATCCTAAAATATCCGGCTTCGGTAAACATGTACATGTTTCACGGAGGCTCAAATTTTGGATTTCTTAATGGAGCCAATTTGGCCAACGACAGAACAGATAATTCTGGGTAAGTTGCTGCTAATAATTTCTTATCAACGGTTGACATAAGAAATTTCTTATTGGTGCGCAACTAGGAAAGTTGTCTTTTCATTGTTTCAAGTTTAAAAGAGGAGTAGATATGAAGAGAGCTTTCCATATAAGATCTCAAGTGATCTTAATAGCTATCAACTCGATTCAAGAAGTTTTGTTTTGGGCCCTAAACATTCTGTTTCTTCCTGTTTCATGGTAAAAATTAAAATGTCTTGATGCAAAGGCCTGTTTTTTACCCGAATGTTTATCAAAAATATTCCTCAAATTCTCATTTACGAATCCAATCTATTCAGATGAAAATGTGTTCTATGATTTATTAAAGACTAAGAGAGTACATACCTACTGAAGTTGTTTGGTACTCTTAGATATTAACGCTATACATTCTAAATTTTGTTTGCAAATTAGCCGATATGCTTTAAAATACGTTGGATCTGGACAGTTGTCCACAGTCCAGACTCCAGAGACCGGAAGTTTGATTTCCTAGTGAAAAAGCAAACCTCTGAAAATAATTAAAATCCTAAGTATCTAATGTGTCCAGTTCTGAATAGCAAAAATCAGCTATGACAATCCTGTATTTTTTACTAAAAATGTTTGATTTTCACCAGTTTCCATCCTGACATAACTTATACGATTACGACGCACCATCGACTGAGAGTTACCATCGTAAAAGGTTTCATGATACACCTGCTTAGTAGGCTAGGAAGATACCAAGAATACCCAATATCATTCACAAATAAGCTGCCTATATTTTAAACTATTTATGTTTCATTTCCACCAGCTACCAACCTGATATATCTTCCTATGATTATGACGCACCCTTAACCGAAAGTGGAGATTATACCATAAAATACGTGATGGTGAAACAACTGATTTCAAAATACAACCCTGTACTTACTAGGCTACCAAAAACACCCAGTATTACTTACAAAGATGCCTATGGACCAGCAAATATCCAGAGACAGCTTGTAATGCGTGAAATTTGGGATCAAGTTGATTTTAGGTAAGAATAATTATTCTCAAACCATGAATACACTTACTTTTTATATAGATTTTATTCGGACGTGGTTTTACCTATGGAATATTTGCCAATAAATAACATGTCGGGACAAAGTTATGGTTATACCGTTTATAGAAAGAAATTACTTGGTAATTTTTATAATAAAAAATCTGCTTGTAATAATAAGGCTCTTTTAGATATACCATCAAACTCGATATTGACCATTGCTGGTAGGATATGTGATAGTGCCATCATTTTGGTTGATGGGGTACTGCTCTCAAAACCTTTAGAGCGTACTGAAGATTTGAACGGTTTTGGATTTTGGAAGCAAAATAATTCCAAATTAAACCTTGGTTCTCAAGGCCGATATGGTGCTACTTTGGAAATAATCGTTGAAAACTGGGGTAGAAATGGATTCGGTTACGTAGACCAGTTCTATCAACTTAAAGGTCTATGGCAAGGTGAAGTTTTCCTTAACAATTTACAAATTTCAAGTTGGGAAATTATTCCTTTGGAGTTTAAGAAATCATGGATCAAAAACCTATCAGGTAAATAGGTGTTGTTTTATAAAGCTTTGACCACAGATGCTTTGACTTACAAGTGGTTTTTTAGGTTGGCACACCCCAAAATGCTTTCAAGTTCCAGGACCTGCTCTACACAAAACAAACGTCTACGTAGACACACCAAAAGATACTTTTATAGATATGCGCAAATGGTGCAAAGGTATTGTGATAGTAAACAATTTTGTACTGGGAAGATACTCGAAAATTGGACCTCAGCAAACTTTGTACTTACCAGCACCATTTTTAGAAAAAGGATTAAATGAAGTTGTAATTTTTGAGCATTACAAGCCTTATAATAGGGTGGAGTTTTTGGATCATCCTGTATATTTAACTAGAAGTTCTAGGATGAGGGATATTGAATTGATGTGATGTGAGGCCTGGAAAAACTCTTTTTTTTTTAAATAAATAATCTAAATAATAAAATAGTCTAACTGACTAGGAGATAAGAAAAAATAAAATTCAATTAAACTATTAAGTTTCTCTCATTATTTGTACTGGAACCTTTGGATGATATAGAAAAGTAGTCGTTCATTCTATCGGTTATTCTTCTAAAATAGTGCGGTAAACGTGCTTTCGTCGTCTTTAAAAAGTTTTGAACAAATGGAGTTGGGAACATCTTTTCTGCTTCTATCTTTTCGTCATCACTTATTCTTTTATCGTCCAAATGAATGAGGGTGGGAATTAGAGAGATTACGTATAGCCTGAAATAATATCTATTAGAAAAAAATGTGAATGAATTATATCTCCGTTAGTTACCTATACTGTAAATATTGATAAATATTCCCTTGAGTCATGAAAGAAGGCACAACAGGATTGCCCATCAACGATAAATACTTCAAATTTGGGCAATTGTATTTCAATGTTTCGATCCAATAAAGATCGTCAATTTTGCAATGGTTCAAATAGAGCAGCTCCAATTTAGGCATCCACGGTATGTTGGTGTCTAATGAGTTTATCGGGTTTTTGTCTGCTATGAGGGATGTTAGTTCGGGAAAATATTCTAAGAAATCGAGGTTCCTAATATGAAAAATAACAGAATGAAGTTCTATTTGTTTAATTTTCTAAGGGTTCTTCTTACTTGATGCTGTTGTTTGTTATGTCTAGTATTTTAACGGAAGGTCCAAATTCGTCGCAAACTAATTTTGGCATGTAGGTTAGCTTTTCGTGTGCTAGAGATAATCTACCTACTTTGGAGTCATCGTGAACTGAATCGCCTTCTGCTGGGTATCCTGAAAGAAATAGATGCAATAATGTTTAGTATACCTACCTAGATAAAGTTAAGCAATCATCATTTACATACCTAATAAAATATTTCCTAAATTCGTCATATCGGCAGTTCTCATTTCCGTATACAAAAGATTGTTTAGAACGTGCGGTAGAGTTTGGTGGGTGATTATTTCAGCAATTCCCGGTACTACCACGGTATTCTCTTCTTGAGGTGGGTCTCGCCACAGTTCGAAAATATCTGAGAAATGTGAAGAGTTTTCATACTGGGAAGTTTTTACTCTTTTGTCATCCCTGAAAAACAATGTCATGAAGAAATTAACAAAAATTAAAAAAATTTGGATCGAAATATGTTTCTGGAGAAATCTTGAATAGTGGAAATTGGAAATTTTCAAATACAGATGATATTGATGTGTGTCAAAGCTCGAGAAGAAGATCTAAGCTTGCTGGAACTTATTTCCGCTATTTAAAAGTACCTGATAGAAGAATTACATTGTTTTTGTTTCACAGTTCTGCTTATTCTCGAATCGTAAGATTATTCAATTTATACAATTCTAGGTTTGAATTTTGCAATCATACCATTATTGGTAGATTTAGATACAATTTTGATCGAGATAATAACTTACTCGTCATGTTTAACATAATCTTTCACCATAACTCCTCCAAAAATAAATCACTTTTTCGCATAAACACAAACTAGTGAATCAAAACAGAAAAATCACAATTTATGTCAGCACAAATGAAATTACAAAAACTTGAAAATATCTCTCTAATCCAATATTGACCGAAATCTTATCTTTACCGATTAATGATAACAATAACAATTATTATTATTTATACAGAACTATGGTGTCTCCTTCTCCTAGATATGAACCAACAAATAGCATTTTTCATTATTTGTAACTGTTTACTGTTTCAATAACACCGGAGAGGATTGGGAAATAATTTGGAAGAAAGAGATAACGAAAAATAGTATTGGGAAAAAATTAACCCATTTATAAATAAAGATGAACTTAAAAGATTATTTTAATTGAAGTATTATTTACATATTTAATAATAATTTCGCTGATAAACCACATAAACATTTACTATGTATACAGTGGCAATATACCTACAGTGACAGAAAAGTACCTATACCTACTTACAGGGTGACTCGTGTAAGTTTCTCTGTACCATTTTTCAATGAAAAAATGGATTCATGTTACCCCCAGACAACTCCCACCTTGTTTTTGCAGAATGTAACTAGTATTGGAGACTGCTACTATAATGGTAGGTAGGTACTAGTGTCATTAGTTATGTTAATTATACAGTATGATAATAGGTATTGATTATCAACAAGTTTTATGTTGAAGTTTATATAATTTTAGATGTATAATGTCATGTTAATTGAATCTAATAAAAGTAAATCTAAATATCGAAATCGAAACTTATTCCACTGTCTCTACTCTGTTATTAATTATAGGGTTATCGACCACAGTCACGCGAAGGCAGGAAGCTATATTGAAGATCTTGGAACAATTAGGAGAAATCTTCAGAGAATGGATGATGAGAAATATAAAATTCCTCTCTTCGATAGAAATTAGACCTGGAAATATAGATTAGAAGTTTTATTAGACGAGAAATATTTTGTTGAGCAAAATATACAGAAAAAATAAAGTTTGTATCTGGTGAGCCCGAAGAAAAGAAAACTAAAAAGAAAGCTGGACTCACAAAGCTAAGGGAGCTGAAAAGGAAATGCAGGTCTTTAATAGTTCAGAGAATAATAGTCACCTAGAATATGTTAGAGATCATGAGAGCGCGTATGACGTAGGTATGGAGGGTATTACAAGAAACTTTTTAGGTAGCAATTGGTCCATTAGACATTGGACCCCGTGGATCATATTTCCGAATCTTCTCGGATATGACATGGACTCGATACATCTTAAGCATAGCACCAGTGAGAAAACATTGAAATGAAAAATAAATATTTGAAGTATTGTTAGTCAGTTACGAATAAGAAGAAAATTGCTGACTATGTGTTTTCAACCTTCAAAACAGAGTTTAGAAGCGCATTTTCTAGAATTTGATAAACTTATTAGAGATGTGCAAAGTTGGGACTGTTGGGAGAGATGGACATTGTTTGCTACTTATTACTCACAATGCCATCGCAATATACCAATGTGGTAACAGCATTGGAAATTCTTTCACCTGTTCGTTTGTCAATGAGTTTTGTCAAAAATCGACTAACGGATGAGTCATCGAAAAAGTATGAAGCCCCTATTGCTGAAGTAAATTCTGTACCAAATATAAGCAATAATTAAGGTAGGTAATTTTGGGGTTCAACTTCAAAATATCAACTACCAGAAAGGGAACAATACTCGATTTAGATGTAAGGGTTACGGATGTGGTCTTTTTGGTCCTAAAAGATTTGAATGTAGGTTCAAAGACAAGAATATGACAGCTGTGAAAACTCAAAAGCTGCTCCAGCAAATGTTGACAAGGTATACAGTTTCGTTTTGTCGTACCAGTAACAAATGTTTATTATCGAACATTAGACGACTTGATAATAATATTGTGAGGATAAGAATAGCCAATAAAGTTTGTGACGCTTTCGCGGCCCAGGTTTATTGATAAGGTGTATTCATTCGGGCTTAATGACCATCGTAAGTTGGAATTTCTTCCTGACGTTTCGCTAGCACGCGTGGCTAGCATTTTCAGAGTTGCTTTCATGTCCAATACTGGTAGCAGACTGACGCGTTCCCCACCGTAAGTTGTATTTATGTGTAAGCGGCTGTGGTGGTGTGAGACGGCTAACATTCTACGAAAGGCTCGACCACCAACCAGTAACCTCTCTAAGAAGGAACTAATGGCAATTAAGAACCTGAATTCAGCGGAAGATATTGTCACAGCTGCCCGCTTTGGGTGACATGGGGGGTTTGTAGCTTTGGGGGTTGATGGAGAGAAACTCGCTAAGGTTATATAAAAATATAGATATATATTTTCCCAAATATACTCTTACACGTACGCTAATCCTATAAGATGCATGACCCGTCGAACACTGGGGTCCTTATAGGGAGCCACACGTCAACGCTGCTTTGAGGACTGTCGGTTTGTTATCGTCACCCTTATGCCTTGTCCAGAGGGGCTTTCCCAACGAGAGTTAATTGCACTGGACAACGATAAGGCTGAAGATACCCAGAGGGGTTTTCCCAACGAGAGGTACTTGCACTGGGGAGACTTAATTTCAGAGGGGCTTTTCCAACGAGAGGTACGTGCACTGGTTTAAGTCTGCATTTGCTGCGGCTTGCAGCGCAATTTATATCCGTTTATTTCTGAATTGCAATAAACATCCGATCGAATCGGCAATTAAATTGATAAGGTTGAATACCGGGTCCTCCTTTTCTAAGCAGCTAGTTGACAATATAAGGGCAACGCAACTGTCCTATTCAGAACTGAAATCTACAAGCGGAAAATTCAGGAACTCCTTGATCCATCTACCTCCCGAAAGCTAAAGAAGGATCCTACCCAAGCCATACTCGGGAATACCAACAAACTGATTAGGTCATCTACCTTAACAGACACGGTTAAGAAAGGCATCATAAAAACAGAAGCAGTGTCACCACGACTCTACGGCCTACCCAAAATTCACAAACTGGTCCAAAAGTCCAGCTAAGACCTATAGTGAGTGAACCTGGAGCACCAACGTACAACCTAGCGAAACATCTTGCATCGCTTCTGCAAATGCATGTAGGAAAAACAAGCTCTTACGTCAAGGACTCCACTCAGTTTGTCCGAAAAATCAGGGATATTATTCTTCAACCTAAGGATATCCTGGTCAGCTTTGATGTCGAGTCCCTATTCACAAAAGTGCCATTGACAGAATTTCTCGAATTAATATCAAGTACCTACCTTTTCCAATGACATAGTTGAGCTTTTCCGGACATGTCTCACTGGTAGTTACTTCCTGTGGAACAGCAATTTCTACGAACAAATAGACGGTGTAGCTATGGGAAGCCAACTTTTTTATGGAGGATTTCGAGAGGAAAGCTATCGAATCTTTTGACCACAAACCAACGGTATGGCTTCGATACGTAGATGATACTTTTGTGGTTTGGAGTCATGGGGAAGAGAAGCTCAATCAGTTCCTAGGCCATCTGAACGTGCAACATTCTAGCATGGAAAAGGAGAAAAACCAATAAATCGCCTTCTTGAATGTGCTCATAAAGAAATCTGGAGGAAAACTAAGCCTCACGGTGTACCGAAAACCTACACACACAGATAGGAGACAGGTATCTGCATACACACTCAAACCACCATCCAAGGCAAAAACGTGGATTTAAAACAACGTTAACAGAACGTGCTCGGAACATCTGCGAGCCACAACATCTCAAGCAAGAACTGGATCACCTCAAGTCGGTCTTTTTATCAAATGGTTACAATGCATCTAAAATCGACAGGGCCATGCGACCCAAAATTGCCACACGGCAAAACGTGGATGAACAACCAGTGGTAGCTAATGCATCTGCCTTTCATTTCTCGAGTGACAGACAGGATAGGGAAAGTCTTGAAGAAATACAACATAAAAACAATCTTCAAGTCAACAAGGAAAATACAGCAATCAATCAAATTAGCCAAGGATAAGAGGAACCCACTGTCAAGCGCTGGAGTCTATCGTATACCATGCACATGTGGTAAGGTATACATAGGAACGACAAAAAGATCCATGGAAACCAGGATGAACAAGCACAAAAGAAACTGCAGACTAGGATAATCGGAAAAATCGGCAGTTGCAGAACATGCCCTTAGTAAAGGGGATCATGAAATACTCTTTGGTGAGGTCAAGCTTCTTGCACCGACTTCCGGATACCATAGAAATTCACGAACATACCGAGAACTTCAGGAAAGAAGAAAAACTAAAACCTAATCAAATCTGGAACCCTATCCTCAAAAACTCAAGAAAGATCTCATTGAGTACAGACAAAGTTGAGATTAGCCACGTGCCGCAAAGCCCTGCCCCTCCCCCACCACAGCCACTTACACATGAATACAACCTACGGTGGGGAACGCATCAGTCTGATACCAGAATCGGACATGGAAGCACCTCTGAAGATGCTAGCCACGCGTGCTAGCGAAACGTCAGGAAGAAATTCCAACTTACGACGGCCATTAAGCCCGAATGAAAACACCTTATCAAGAATAGGCAAGTCAGGAGAAGCCAAGGAAGTAGGTGATATTAGAGAATAGAGAAGAAAGTTTTATAGTTTTCCGGTTCAGAATAGGAAACTTCAATATTTTACAGAATCAAGCTTTTGCTGCTAAGAGCGGAAATTTATCTGAGCTTTGGCACAAGCGAATTGGACACCTCAGCTGCAGCAATCTTCAAAATTTAGATAAAATGTATCGTTTATGGCTTGGAAAAACATGCTGTATTGACAGTTCTGATATTTGTATTAAAGGGAAACAGACGAGGTAAGCACGCAAGCTAGAAAAAGTAAGTTCAAAGAGGCCACTGGAATTGATACACAGTGATGTTCTTGGACCAATAAACCCAACATATTATGACAGGAAGAAGCACGTTTTGACTTCAATAATTGGTGACTATACACATTTTACTGCATGTTAGTAAGGCTAAAGTATTTCGCAACGTCAAAGCATATGTTGCAATGTCCACATCAC